TTTCCTTCCCATCTGAGCTATGCAACCAAAGCATTTCAAGAACAGCAAATAATGCACAAAACAAATTTGAAATCATAGCTGTCCATCATGTATTGTGATTGTATTGCTAACAATCTCAGGAAAGCCAAAACTGTCCAGACAGGGGCGTGCACAGCCTTTGTCTATGGCCCCCATCTCCCTGTGATGCAGGCTATCAGCCAGGCTGGGCTCTAACTCCCTCCCCCTCCCTCCCTCTCCCCCTCCCTCCCTCTCCCCCTCCCTCTCTATCTCCTCTCCCTCTCCCCCTCCCTCCCTCCCTCCCTCTCTCCCCTCCCTCTCTATCTCCTCTCCCTCCCTCTCCCCCTCCCTCCCTCTCTATCTCCTCTCCCTCCCTCTCCCCTCCCTCCCTCCCCTCCCTTCCTCCTTTCCTCCCCCTCCCTCCCTTTCATGTTGGAGGCATGGTCTCATTTTGTGGCACTGCTGGCTCGAACTCACTTTGTGGATGAGACCTGGCCTGGCCTCTAACTTTCAATCCTCCTTCACCCTCCCTAGTGTTGAGATCATAGTGTCTAATGTCGTGCATGAGTTTGTGTCAACTTTTTAAGGAAGTTTTAAATGAAAAACTTAACTATATACAGATGTTAAAAACTAACTCTTTGAAAGAAACAACAAAATTGTTTTGAACTTCATAAAATTTAAGCCTAAACATTTATTAGTTTTTACTTGTACAAAAAACGCCCATACATTTAGCCAGCTATGGGTAGTGCCAGTCTGTAATTGCAGCACTTGGAAGTCGAGACAGATGACTGCTGTGAGCTCCACGCTAGCCTTAGCCACACAGCAAGACCCTGCCCCAAAATAAATAGGAGAGAAAGAAACAAGTACAACCATATCATTTAATTAGTGACAGTTACAGACCGGTGGGACTGTGCATTCAGAAGCCTGAGGCAGGAGTCACAGGTTCAAGGCCAGATGGGACTATGTAGCCAAGATCCTATCTTAGTAAAAGAACAAGTAAAATGAAAACAAACAAACAAACAAACAAACAAAAAAAACCCTACATTTACTTCACCACAGCTCAAAAGGAGGAAATCAGATCTTACCATTCTGGTGTCCTTCTGTGGCTGTGATAAGACACTGATCAAACACAATGCAGGCTGGAAAAGCCTTTACTTAGCTTACACTCCAGGTCACTGTCCCTAAAGAGAATTAGAGCAGGGACTCAAGCAGGACAGGAGGTAGAATCCATGGAGGAACGCAGCTGCCACCTCATCCCCGGCTCTGTCACTTGCTCACAGTGGCTTCTTTATACAGCCAAGGACAACCTGGGTCATCCTGTGTCGATCAAGAGAATCTCACACAGACATAGCCACAGCACAATGGATGGGAACTCAACTGAAACTCTTCCCAGGCCACTCCAGGCCATCAAGTTGACAGCTAATGTGAATTAGGGCAAACTGCAAAGTTGTGAGATGTCAAAAAATAAAACTAATTTGCAGCCTAATGTTGACATACATCTGTAGTAACTACCATTCTGCCTTTGCATGGCTGTAAAACTTTTCAAAGTGTATTCACCACTCTGCAACCCTAGCAAGGAAACTCCATGCTGTTAGTGTTTTCCACCCCATGCAGGACACAGGACAAACTCCTGTCATACTTGAGCAAGAGGACCAGTGGACAGAGGTAATGACAGAACTATGGGATCCACAATCAGCCTACACAAGAGTAACCCTGCCAAAGAGCCTCGAGATAACGACTCCCCTAGGGTAACAGAACAGAAAGTGGGGCAGGCCTACCCTCAACAGATCACAGTCAGACACCTGGAACAGATCACCTTCAGGCAACACAGGAGTTGTGGTAACTAAGGGAAGGTCTAGGCTTCCTTACCACATCTAAAATGGAAGCCAGTCTTCACTGAGGACCACAGTTTGGTGGGAGGACCTGGAATTGTGGCTAACAGTCAGTGGTGCAGCAGAGGAGAGCACCAAGTAATCCCTTTTCACTCTGTTACTGTGATGAGACACTCCGACTGAAATATCTTGGGAAAGAAAGGGTTAACAGGGCTACCTGTCCAGGTCACCTCACTGAGGGACTCAGGGCAGGAGCAACTGAGGGCTTGTGCTCACCTAGCTTTCTTTAAGGCCAGGAATATCTGTCTAGGGATGGTGCTGCCTAACGGATGGGCCTTTCTGCATCAGGAGTCAAGATAATTATCCACAGGCCAATCTAATCTAGGCTTTCCCCTAGGTGACTGACTCCAGGCTGTGTCGATTTAGCAAAGCTGAGACAACCAGCAAGCTCTAGAGGCCACAAACAAACAAACAAACAAAACATCACTCCTAAAAATAAATGGAAGAAGGCCTAGAGGTCCTAGGAAGGACTTCCTTACTGTTCTAGTTATCAATTCATGGCCATCCTCTGCTCTGGGAGACAAGTGGATAGTCAGTCCACCAGAGGTGACTTCCTCTCCTCATTCCCTAACACCACCTAAGGATCGATCAATCTATCTGTCTGTCTGTCTGTCTGTCTATCTATCTATCTATCTATCTATCATCTATCTATCTATCTATCTGGAGGCAATGTCTCTCCATCCTAGAACTTAAATATATAGACCAGGCTGGCCTCTTGAGTGCTGGGACTGAAGGCGTGCACCACCATGTCCTGTGTGTGTGTGTGTGTGTGTGTGTGTGTGTGTGTGTGTGTGTTTGTGTATCTACTATTTCTTGATACAAATCAAGATGTATAATTAACATAAATTTCTGAGTCTAAATCCACCCGTTGTAGAATGTAGAAAGCACACTGCCACAGGCAGCAGCCAGGTACCGACCAGGCATGTGCAAGGCATGGTCATTAGCAGAGTGTATGCCACCAGGAGCAGAAGAGACACTCAACAGTTAGCTCCCGCGGCTCTCTCGCAGAGGATCAGTCCCAGGAGTTGTGGTGCCCTCTCCTGGCCTCAGAGGGCACTGCATGCACACAGTGCAATACATGGAATCAGAAGTACACTACCATAAAATAAACGACACCACACAGTGCACATTTAAAGTTAAAAAGTAGCAATTTCAAGTGTATGCACTGTGTAACTAATAAAACCAGAAGAAAGGCCATCAAATAACAACCCAAGTGATGTGAACCAGAGTGGTCAAATAAGAATAGAAACATGCACTTTTTGGTAAGTTGCAAGTCATTCTCCTCTGAATTACAAAGGAAACCAAGACGACTTGCGATTTGCTACACAATGAAAAGACACCCAGAGACTTGCTTCGGCACAGGTAGATGTATGCCACGTGTTTCTTGTTTTCCATTCACCCTATCTTCATCCTCGTAGGCATCCATAACTCATATGGTTTTTATGGACTTTTTATTCTTTTAGGGTTTTCAAACAGAACAGAGCTTTCTAGACACAAATGGACTCTGTCATCTCAGGCACTTAGTTCTGAGGGAACTAAGCCTCCAGTTAACCTCTCCCAAATGTACATGCATAGCTTCCATGTTGTTCACAAATGAAGCCCTAACCTAAATGCTTCAAATGAAATTCCAGGGCAAAATACTTTTCAAAACCTAGATAATGCATTCCTTGGCTGATGCTAAATATAGTCTTCTCAAGATGACATACATTTTGACAGTGATCAGCCTTGCATGTCAAAATTTCTAAAATAGCACAGATTCCATTTTAAGGTAAGCAGGAAAAAAATTGCTCCTCGCTCAGCATCACTGAAAATCTATTAAAACTGGGTTGCATCAAAAGCTGGTAGCAGGAAAACTAGATATATAATGATATTGTTGCAGGTTTTGCAACAATAAGTTCTCACTAAGTCAACTGTTGCAGGTAAAATTCAAAATTGCACACATTTCTCTTAACGATTCCTCAGGCGTATCAGACAAGAGATGGAAAACTGAGCTGAGCCTGTGGTATAAGCCTGTAATTCCAACCACCATGAAGGTTGGGATGAGCATCACAGTGCCAACAGGAACCAACTACATCAAATAGTCTCTTCATACTGCAAGCCCCCCCCCCCGCAGTTAATTACGCACTTTTCCCATACAAACATTCAAATACAGGGAAAAAAAATCAGAGACGCAGTTTGGAGTCTCTTACAGCAGCAGTCTAACCTATAAAATAATGTTAGGGACATTTTTATATAATTCGCCCAATTTCTTGAGGTCGTTTAATCGAGACATACTTCTCTCATGAGTCTCCTGCTGAGACTCACACAATGGGCCCCTGTTGTATGAACTCATTAACAAAATTTGGCTGATGAATGATACCTCATCACTTTGGCCAGGGAGCTGGTCAGTGGCTCCTTTTCTCTGCCTGCCTGACTTTTTCCAAGGGCAGTCACTTTGTGAGGGCCTACCATATGCTATTTTTACTACATTATCTACGCTCAACTCCTTGCCCACTTTGTGGCCTTAAAAATAAAATGCTTATCTCAAAGCCACTGAGAAATCACCTAATCTCTCAGCTGGATCATTTTTCACTCACTGACACATGCACGTGTGTATGCATGTGTATGTATGTGTATATAAGTGAATATACACACACAAACACATATGCATACACTGCATTTGAACATCTCACAATTTATCACACCGTGTCTTCACTCCAACTTCTAGACTAGCAGCTCAACCTTCAAGCATATCCCGGTCTTGGCGATGGGGACCAATTTGGAGACCGGGGATGGCAGGCTATAAATCCCTCGTTCCCCAGTTTCCAAAGGGACCCATCAGCAATTTCTTTAAAACCGCAGCCACTGCTAGCGGAGACCGCGGCGGGCACGTGTTGCCTGCCACGGGGAACTCACCGGCTCGGACCCTGAGGGTCCCCGGCGGAGGGGTGGACACGCCCTGGGCCACCTGGGACCGTTGTCTCCCCAAACTCAGCGGTCCAGGCGCAGGTGGCGCAGACGCACCAGGGCCTGGCAAGGGACCCACCCGCCGCCGAGGCCGGCTGGCCGGGCGAGCACCGTGCTCCCCGCGGCCCGCATCCCCGCCGTGGCCGCCCCACCCAGCCCTCCTACCCGCCTGTGGCCCGGGCACCTCGCCGCTCCTCCTGCTCCGCGCTGCGCGTCCGGGTCTGCGCGCTGCCCCCGCCGCCCCGGGCGTCCCGAGCCCTCTGGCCCCGGCGCGCCAGCAGCAAGTTTCCATAAAAGTCCTGGTGCGCAGCCTGCTCCCGCATTCCACACGGGCGCTGCAGCTGTTCCGGGACGCCAGGCCAGTCCCCAACCCCCGCCGCCGCCGCCGCTCTCCGGCAGGGGTGGGGAGTCGCCAGGGGGAGAGGGCGGGGCCGCCCCCAGGGCCCCGGGCACCCGGCGCTGCTCCGCGGATTCCCCGCCTGCCGCCGCAGCCCACGCTCTCACTGACTGTGACGCGGGCCCCTTCTCCCGGAGGGATGGGCGGCAGTGGAAGCGCCGCGCCTGTGGCTCCGGTTAACTCGGAGGTCAGTGAATAGGGCGCTCAGGGAGCGCGGAGCAGCCGCAGAAGCCAAGCCGACTCTGCTGTTCCTCACCTCCAGAAGAGCGCGGGCCTCCAGGGAAACCTCATTCACCCGTGAAGGGCTGGCCCAGCTGAGACCCATTTGGGCCAGCCGAGGCCCTCGGTTCTTTGCTGCATTAAAAACAAACCAAACTGGAGGGGAAGGCTGTGTCACACAAACAAGGTCCCAGGTTCAACTCTCCCCCAAGCCCAGTACATAAAGCAAGGACAGCAGCGTTAGGAGACACGGTAGCAGGTGTGGCGTCCAATCGCAGCGGCAAGTCTGGGAGTTCAAAGCTAGCCTTCACTATAGAGAGTGTGAGGACAGCCTGGGCTTCAATAGGCCATGTCTTGGAAATCCTCGAGAAAAAGAAAAACCCGCCGCATGGAAGTAGGTGCCCGGGGACTCAGGCAGCCACTTCCCCGGACAGACCAAAGCGCAGGTGATGTCGCCCTTTGTTCTTGAGGAAAACTGCTCTCCCACCCGTCGCCACTCAGCAGGAGGCCTGGAGTGGCTGCTGGCCCTTCCTCCCTTCAGTAGCCTCTCCACTTCAAGGGACTCTCTGCAGCCTCATCCACAGCCTCATCCACGCTCCCCTCCCCTTTACCGACTCCTCATCCTCCATTCGAATGCTGCATCCTCCAGGAAACCCCTCCCACCCGTGTCTGATGCAGATGCTGCTGGTGTCCTTTCCTCACTGGGCACCTGAACTATAATTGTATCTTTATTCTGAGATTTAAAGGATGAGGTTTTCCGTTCTCTCCATAAAACACTGGGAGGAACCTGCAGAACACTCTAGAACAGCAGTTCGCAACATATTTGTCTGAACCCCTTTGGGTGGTCAAACGACCCTCCCACTGGGGTTGCCTACAACCATCAGAAAACATAGATATTTGTGTAGGATTCATAACTAGCAAAATTACAGTTGTGAAGTAGCCACAAATAATGTTATGGTCGGGGGTCACCACGCCACATCAGGAGGGTTGAGAACCTGTGCTGTAGAATTACCGTGGAAGAGCCTCAAGGAGGGCTTGTGTAGATGTAGTCAGCCTGTGCCCGTGAGAGTTTACCTGGGTTACTTTAGGTGGGCAGGGGGTGGGCGTCATGTTCTGGATCTGAGTGACCATACATGCATTTACTCTTTCTGATTTTTTAAAAACATTGTTTTTATTTTATGTGCGTTGGTGTTTTGCCTGCATGTATGTCTGGGTGAGGGTGTCAGATCTTAAGAGTAATTGACGGGTTGACAGGTATGAGCTGCCATGTGGGTGGGAGCTGGGAACTGAACCTTGGTCCTCTGGGAGAGCAGTCGGTGCTCGGAACCACTGAGCCATCTCCCAGGCCCTTTCTGTTTTTTGTTTGTTTGTTTGTTTTGTGTTTTTTAGACTGGATCTCATTGTGGGATCTTAGCTGTCCTGGAAACGGATATGTAGTCCAGGTTGGCCTCTGCTGGGAATAGAGGTGTGTGAACACACCTTCCCCCCCCCCACAGTGCTTTCCACTGTGGATGTTATGATCAGGACCCCAGAATGATGGGCTGTGCCCTGGAAACGTGAGCCTAATAAGGTCTTCCTCCCTTAAACTGCCTTTGTAAGGTATTTTATTACAGGTCTAGCGGCGGCTGTGACACAGCATACACAGGCTGTCCATTCACCAATGATTTCATTCAACAGTCAGTAGCAGACATCACGCAGCAGAGACAAGCTCCTGCTCTCAGGGAACAGATTCCCAGGGAACAGGGAAGAAAAGCAAGCCCGCCCATGAGCTGTGGAAGTGCTTACCGAAGCTCCACATGGAGAAGGAACTGGCTGGTGTGTGGTGTGATGTTAGTGTGCACAGAGTCTCACGGGAGAGGTCTTAAGGAAAGTGGGGTACCGTGTGAGCCTTCCCTGCCACTGGAACAAATAACTGAGGCTGTGTAAGTCATAGCTGTTTTTCCTGGGTCTGACGGGACATTATTTCAGGTGGCACAGAATTTGTGGGAGGGGGTCACACATGGAGACAGGAAAGGCCGGGAGTGACCTCTCTACACTCTATTTCTGCATGTGTGTGGTGTGCATGCATGTATGTGTTGGTATGTGTGTGCACAAGGAGGTGAGAACCACATCAGGTGTGTCTGCTTAGGAAGACAGGGTCTCATTGGCCTGGAATCTACTGATTATGTTAGACTGGCTGAGCATCCAGACCCCGGCAGCCCCGGCCTGTTTACACCTCCCCAAGCGAACACACCCATGCCTGACATCGTTCTTACGTGTCTGGACTAAGGCTTGATGGTGTGGGGCCTCACACTGGAGAGGCAATCAGTTTTCCCAAACAGCTCCCTCCTCAGTGCTAGCGGCTCCTCCCGCAAAGGCCTTAAAGTTCCCTCTACCTCCTCTGACACGCAGGACCCAGATCCCACACAGATGATATGAGTGGAGAGCCACACCTCCTCCACAGGAGGCGGTGAGCTATGCAAATGACTTCAGGTGCGAATACCTGGGGAAGAGTGGGTCCACAGAGGGATCCTACCTAGAAAGAGCCAGGGAAAACAAGCAGGCTTGTGTGGGTGAAGCTTAGGACCTGAAGGCTGAAGTAACAGGAGCGGAGGTGGGCAGGGCCAGACGATGACACAGGAGCTTTTGTAGGGCACTGGACCCCGCTCTCAGATAGGCAGGTGGCCCCCAGGAGGTCTCAAACAGTGTGGGCGTGCTGACCTGACCTGCTGCAGCATATCTGTTGCAAACAGACAAATGGGGTGAAGGAGGAAGCGGGAGCAGACCAAGAGGGTCCACAGAATCGAGGTGAAAGGTAATTGGAGGGTGGTGGCTGGACAGGGTGAGAAATGCCAGGCATGTTTCTGATAGAACTGGCGGGCATTTTGGAGCAGAATGCCTGCCAGATACGAAGAGAGGTTTCTGGTCTTTGAGGTGGAAAATGTTCTGGTGGGGAAGGTGGGGGGGGGCAACAGTGGGTGGAGTTACGTTTTATGTACAAATTTGGCATTTGGCATTACTGGAAACCCAGTGTCTTAGTTAGGGATTCTGCTGCTGTGAAGAGACACCGTGACCTGGCAACTCTTATAAAGGAAAATGTTTAGCTGGGTGGCTTACAGTTTCAGAGGAAGTGGTCTGAGACATTGGGCATGCTGTGAGCAAATATGAGACCTCAAAGTCTGCCTCCACAGTGACACACTTCCTCCAACAAGACCACACCCACTCCAACAAAGCCACACCTACCTCCTAATAGTGCCACTGCCTATTAGCTGATCGGGCCCAATTCCATTCAAACTACCACACGGAAGATTTGTAAATATGTATATGAATTCCTGTTGTTTTCACCACAAATCAGCTGGGGCTATTTTCAACCTATTATAGTTTATAATAGTGGAATTCAAACCTGGGACCTTGAGTGTGCTGAGTGTTCTAACACTGAACTTTAGCTTCCATCCAAATTAGTCAAACTTCACTACATAGATACAGAAACAAAGTTGAAGCTTTGAAGTGAACTGGTAAGACAAATAGCTTATAAAAATTAACCATCAACCCTGGGAGAATACAAATGTAAAATAATGGGTACAAACATAAATCCAGTGAGAGTCTGTGGTTGTTATTCTTCTAAAGGAATTCTCACTTTTAAAAGTAAGGGATGCAATTGGCTGTCTAGTACCAAACAGTTAACCCTGAAAACACACATACAAGTAACATTATAGCGACTGAACGGGTTATATTTAGGGACAGATATATGAATATACAAACACATATGTATGCATTCAACAACAACTGGTGAAGGAAAGAGAATAGACTGTGGATTTGAAGGAACGGGAGGATTTGCAGGGAGGAAAGGGAAGGGAGAGATGTTATAATCAAAATACAGCTGCAAAAGTAAACAATGGCAACCAATAAGGTTGCTGGGTGGGTATGGGGGCACGTGAAGCCGGAGACAGGCCGTCAGACACCTAATGCTTGGTCTACATAATGAGTTCCAGGCTAGCCTGGGCTGCATAGTGACACCTTGTCAAAAAGAAAACAGGAAGTTAAGGACTTTTAAGGTGCAGGATGCACGTTAGTAGAACACACACGTAGCATGTGTGAGACCCTGAGCATGTATGCATGCGTGTGTGTGTGTGTGTGTGTGTGTGTGTGTGTACACGCGTGTGTGTGTGCACGCACACACATGGAGGTCAGAGGACAACTTTCAGGAGTAGAGTCTCTCATTTCACAAAGTGTTCTGGGGATAAAACAGTTCATCAGACCTGAATGGCAAGTGCTTTCCCCAAACAAGCTGTCTCTCAGACGCTTTTGGCTTCTGTGCTGTGGTGTTCAGCCAGCAGAAGGGTCGGATGAGCTTGCCTCCTGGCGAGTAGACTGTGCAGCCTTCTCCCACACTGGGCAGCGCTGGCGTCCTGCAGAAGCACCAGCGCTCCAGGTCTACATATTGCCAACGCTGGGAGATGCCAGTGGGTAAAGCGCTTGCCATGCTACCTGACCATCTGAGCCCAGTCCCCAGAACTCGTGAAAAGCCAAATCCATAGCCAGGGGTCTGTTCTCCCAGTGCAGTGCACTCCTATGGTAAGGCAAAAGAGAACTTCCGGAAGTGACAAGCCAGCTACCCTGTGGCTAAGGAGACCCTGTCAGTGTGGAGGCGAGCACTACTACCCGATGCTGTCCCGACTTGTACTTATGCACCATAGGCTGGTCTCTGCTTGCACGAGCATGTGTCCCCCCTGTCCCAAACATTGC